CTTACTTTTAAACACTGAACTCACTCTGAAACACTCTGACCTTACTTTTAAACACTGAACTCACTCTGAAACACTCTGACCTTACTTTTAAACACTGAACTCACTCTGAAACACTCTGACCTTACTTTTAAACACTGAACTCACTCTGAAACACTCTGACCTTACTTTTAAACACTGAACTCACTCTGAAACACTCTGACCTTACTTTTAAACACTGAACTCACTCTGAAACACTCTGACCTTACTTTTAAACACTGAACTCACTCTGAAACACTCTGACCTTACTTTTAAACACTGAACTCACTCTGAAACACTCTGACCTTACTTTTAAACACTGAACTCACTCTGAAACACTCTGACCTTACTTTTAAACACTGAACTCACTCTGAAACACTCTGACCTTACTTTTAAACACTGAGCACACTCTGAGCTAAAACAGACTCAGCTGACACTTTATTGCACCTGTTCAGGTGTTTACACACAACCAGCTCATCAACCATGCCATGGTGAAGATGACCTGCTGAAGTTCATTTGAGCCTGTGTCATATGTGAAAGAAGATGTCATTCATTCATTCATTCATTCATTCATTCATTCATTCATTCATTCATTCATTCATTCATTCATTCATTCATGACATCTTGACTAAAATGGAACAGGTATAACTCTGAACTAAAACACTTAACAAACCTGAAACCTGGACTACATTATTTAATGTTAAAATAATATTCTGTGTGAATGGTACAACGCAGTAAGTAGAATTCTGTTTGWCGAAGCTTGTTTTGGGTTAGAATTGTCCCAGCTCGCTCTCCGTAGACAGTTTGTATTGATGATGACGTGTAGCAGGAAGTTGAGCTGTAGCTAGCTTTAGCAGAGCTCTTCCTTAACGCTGCTGTTTGTTTATTTTTACAGTCCAGTATGAAGTCTACAGATTTATTAATCMTCCGTCTGGTAAAATACAACATAAAATAAAACAGACCAACTGCACAGGTAAATAAAATCAACAACATTGTGATGATGAGCGCTAACAGGTATTAGCTGTAAATATGTCGACGTTTCCTCTTTCTGAACTGTCATCTGTCATCATTAGTCCAGTGTGCTTTTAATTTATTAAAGGTATTTAACGATGGGGACAGGAATTAATCCAGACTGTCAATGTTGTAGTATCTCTACATAAATAAATTAAARGTCTGAGAGTCACAGATCTCCTGACAGGCAGCACAGAGAAGTTAATCGTTAAACTCATTTTGCTGAAAAATATGACTGGATTATTTTTATAAGTCTTCGGATTCTGTTGTTATCAAGCGTGTTGAGGCCTCTCAGACAAAGAAAATTTAAGTTTCTTGTTTTTTTTCCTTGTTACGAGATGTATAAATTAATTAGAAACAAGTAGAAAAAACTCCTTCACAATAAAAGCCTTAGAGACACACACTGAGTATTAACTTGTCAATAATGTTAGTGCTACAGGCTGCTGTATTCATTTTTACTAAAGAATAATAATGAAAGATATGCTCATAGATGTGATTTTTTTTTCTTGCAAAACCTGACTTAGTCTGTTAAAAAGTAAAACCCATCTCTGCAGTCTAAAGCTTGATTATATTTGCCGTTTTAGTTCATTTAAAATGATCTAATTATTGTTATAAAGTCTGAGAATGTCCCATTTCATTTTCAGATTAACAGATTATGAGATTACAAAGCCTGGGATGTTTATTTATCACCTACTGACACTAGGTGATGATGTCATGTCTCTGTATAAACAATATCTCATGATCCACCGAGCAGGTTTTAATAAAACTCAAAGTTTTCAATTGATCTACAATTTAACATATTGAGTCAACTAATCAACCTCAGAAAATAAAATACAGAAATGGTTACAACTCAGTCACTTTCACTGATGCTGAGCGAAAATTTGGTGTCAGTAGCTGAGAGTCATCCACAACAAATAATCTGAGAGCCAACAGATCACACAAGATTGTGCAGAACATAATTTTTAAACTTCTTTCAACATAAGACGATCCTAATTAAAAGATGGTTAGCAGCGTAGGCTTCAGAAACCCTAACAGTTTGTTTCTTACAGGTGTGGTTAATTACAGCTGTTTGATGAAGAGCGATGGGGAAGAGGAGGGTGCCAGATCTGTACCGAGCCCCCTTTCCACTGTACTCCGTTAAAGTGGACCCTGCTACGGGGCTGGTGATCACAGCCGGAGGAGGGGGTGCTTCGAAGACGGGCATAAAGAATGCAGTGGTAAGCGCTGATGCTCTGAAGTCTCTGCAGCACTTTGTAGGGTTCCAGATCACATGTCACAACCTGAACACACGGGGACAGGTTTGGTGAACATTTTAAAACTTTTCTATTTAGTTTAAAATCTGCATCCATGTGAAAACAGCTTTTTATAGTATTTTTCATAATGGGGTTCCTCAATGACAAAAATCTTGTTAGCACTGGATTTACCCTCGCTGGAGGTCTTATGTGGGCGTGGGTGTTACAAGGCAAAGCTCTCTGTTGACTGGTCAACCTATAATCAGGATCTCTGGGTCGTGACAGGGACAATGGGCCTCATGCAAGAACCGTTCGTACGCACAGATTTGTTCTTAAGTTGTGCGTACGAGTGATTTAGGAGAAATTGTGGCATTAACCAATGTTTTCGTATTCTAAGATTTTCTTCAGATACGAACAAAATTCACGAGTGGTCCAGACCTGTCATTTATTTTACGTACAGTCAGTCTGCTGTTATCCAGACGGGTTTTCTTCACTGATAACTTTATATTTCGTTAGTTTGAAGATATTTTGAGTTGAAAATAAATTACACTCCATAATTATGTTGACAATAGGCTATTCTGCTTGAATTGGAGATGTAATTTTAAATATAATAATTTAGACTAACAATATAAATTGTCCGTCCATCCGGCTTACCCACTATCGGGTGCGGAGTCATCAGGAGAGAGACCCCGCTCTCCCCAGCGACACTTTCCAGCTCGTCCTGGGGGGCTCCGAGACGTTCCCAGGCC